TCCTGTCCTCAAATCTTGTCAGCACACCTTGGTATTGAAGGAGCTCTGGCCTCAGAGCTGTGAGAATAATAAAACCTCTTTTTCCATCAGAGAAATGAATAGAACAATAAAAAGAAATGGAAGTAATGAATAGTAAGAATGTTTTGAGAGTTAAGCAAGGGGGAGTTATATATAGCTCCTGTTATGCCAAGCTACTTTTTATGTGTTAAAAGCATAACTTTTTGGGGTCGGGGTTGTGGCTCAGTGGTAGAGCACTTGCCTAGCATGCATGAGGCAGTGGGTTCAATTCCTGGTACCACGTAAAAATAAAAACAAATAAAATAAAGGTATTGTCCATCTACAACTAAAAAATATTTAAAAATAGTAAAAAAGTGTAAGTTGTTGAAAGAATCTTGGAATTTATCCTTCAGTCATCCACACAGGTTGGGTTCAGTCTTAAGAAATGTGCAGGCCTGACTTGTGCTAGAGGTGACAGGCAGGGACCTGTCCTCATGGGGTTTTCTTGCAGTTTTTTGCAGAGCACTGTGAAAATTTGGGCCAGACAAGAAAAGAATAATTTTCATTATTATTATCAATATTGTTAACCAGTACTGGAAAAGTTTCGGTTGTCAGAAAGGAGGTGATTATCATTGCGTTTATTTTTCTTCTGAGAAAATCTTTGGGGGAGAACACTAACTGCCTGGGTACGATGATGCACACTTGTAATCCCAGCAGTTTGGGAAGCTGAGGCAGGAGGATTGCAAGTTCAGAGCCAGCTTCCTCAACATAGTGAGATGCTAAGCAACTTGGTGATAACCCTGAATCAAATTAACAAAAATAATAAAAAAAAAAAAATCAGGGCTGGGGATATGTCTCAGTGGTTAAGCAACTCTGGGTTCAATCCCTGCTGTGAATAAAAAGAACAAAACACTTCCCCAGGAAAGTTTGCTCAGCTGTTGTAATTTAGTATGCAGACCAGGTGGCTTAAGCACAGCCACTTATTTATCACATTCTGGAGGCTGGAAGCCTGAGATCAAGGTGTGGGAAGGAAGATTTCTCTTGAGGCCGCCCCCTTGGCTTACAGATGTGGTTCTCTCTTTGTGCATGTCTGTATCCTAATCTCATAAAGACACTAGTCAGATAGGATTAGGATCCACCCCAGTGATCTCACGGTACCTTAATTTTCTTACAAATCTCATCTCCAACTATAGACATGTTCTGAGGTCTTGAGAAACATGGGTTTGGAGAAATGCAATTCAGCTGATGACACCTCTTTGGCTGTGTGGGCTTGTCAAGTCACCTCTCCTCTTGGGCCTTAGTGCGTCCACTCTGAAAAGGAGTGAATTGAGCCAGGACCCCCCTCTGCACCCGAGACCTGCTGATCCATCTGATGCCATCCTTCTTCCTCCTCTTTCTCCAACTAGGTGCTTGAAGCTGGTGTGTGCTTCCCTCCAGCGTCAGAGCTTCCACACTGCAGGGTGTTACTACAAGGGCCGGACAGGTGCTGAGCACCTATGGCTGAGTCGGCATTTAAAGGACCCATTTGTGAAGGCTGCGAAGGTGGAGAGTTACCGCTGTCGAAGTGCCTTCAAGCTTCTGGAGATGAATGAGAGGCATCGGATTCTGTGGCCTGGCCTCCGTGTGTTGGACTGCGGGGCAGCTCCTGGAGCCTGGAGTCAGGTGGCAGTGCACAGCGTCAATGCCACAGGCAGAGGTGGGACCCCCACGCTCCTGGTAGCACCTTCTGATCACAAGTCTGAGGGAATGAAAGTGAGTTGTTTCCTGCCATGGACACAGCAGTTGAACTATTTCCTGAAGGCACATACTTATGAGTGGATTGATTAGTAGTGGTAATTGTAAAATCGGAATACTGACCTTTTCAAAGTGAAAGACAAAGTGGAAAGGTATAATGAAAATCACCACAAATTATATCAGCTGGGTGTACAACATATTGGTGTACACCCTTCTGGAGTTTGTTTTTGTATATATGCCTACATAACTACTTTCTTACATTTTGAGAAATTATGCCATGTTTTTCTTGCTAGTTGGAGTCTTAATGGATTTTTTTTTTTTCACTAATGATATACTGACATCTTTCCATGGCAGTACAGCTGAGTCAACCCCAGAGGTTTCTAAGTCCTGTTCCTGCAACCTGAGGGTTTCATGGAGGTCCCAGGGGGGACCCTCTAGGGCCTCAAGAAAGGCTTCATGGCCAAGGCTCTGGATTCTCCACTCTGGGTCAGCCTGAGGACTCAGCGTTTTTCTTTTAAATTTTAGGGTTTTTGACAAAGATTTCTTTGACAGTTTCTGTGTTAGGAAAGAGATAAAACAGTCACCCATACAACTTTAAAATGTAATGTTGGGACCTCCTAATAACTGATTTTAGTGATTTCTATTCCCCTGATGGCTTTCCAGAAGGATGAAAATGGCTCAGTTTAACTTGTAGGAAGAAGTGACAGGGCAAAGAATGCAAGGGTGACATGAGCTTTCCTTCTCATTGTTGCAAAGTTGCAACCAAAGCTGTTTACTTTCTGTGGAAATTTCCTAAGTCTATAACACATGTGCATGATAAAGGAAAGAAAGGTCAAGAATGTCAGCTGAGATGTGAGGTGTCCCACTTTCCTGGGCTGAAAATAGGGTTTTCACTTTTAAAAAGTGAGGTAGTCTTCAAAATTCTAATTTTGTCTAGAAATAAAATGCATATCCTCCCTGTTCTGAGTTTTATTAAGCAGAGTAAACTTGAAAATCTGTGATTATACCCTTAATTTATCAACACTTAGCAACAGAGCTGAGATCCTCTGCAGTGCCACAGGGATGAGGTACGGGCATGTGGAGCGGGGGTCTTTGTATATGGGGACAGCATGGGAGGAGGAGGTGGAGGCTGATAACAGGAGTAGGCAGGAAGTCTTGTTTCAGGTTAGGTGAGGCTGCYATCTTTTTTGTTTTATAAAACCTCTTTTTTTGTTTTACAAGTAGTATTCCTCAAATATGGACAATGTGTCAATTTTTGTGTCTCATTTTGTATCTGTTCATTTTTCCCAACTCTGGCTTGTTTCCAGTGGTTTCTACATTGAAAGCAAATGGCTTAAGTTGTAGAATGGATTTATTGATTTTAATCCAGAGGCACTTTATGTACTGGTGTATCAGAATCTTTTCTTTTATCAAAAAGACCACCAAGGAAGTCAGGCACAGTGGTGCACATCTGTAATCCTAGAGGCTCAGGAAGCTGAGATGGGAGGATCACAAGTTGAAGGTCACTGTCAGCAATTTAGAGAGGCCTTAAGGAAATTATTGAGACCCTGTCTCAAAATAAAAAATCAGAAAGAAAGGGCTGGGATGTAGCTCACTGGTAAAGTGCCCCTGGCTTAAGTCCTCAGTACCAAAAAAAAAAAAAAAAAAAAAGAAAACAAAACCCCACCACTAAGGAGAATCCTTTCACAGAGAGTGAATTTGAGGTAACATGCCAAAAGCAGGAAGAGAAGTCCTGGCTGTGGCCCCAGCTGTGCCTGTGACTAAGGATGACTGGCCTCAACTTCCTCAGCTGCCAAGTGAAGGACTGCCCACTGCCCTCTGCCCTCTGTGTGTCTCCATAGGCTGTTTGAATAGTGGGAGGGCTCCTGTCCACATATGCACATCTGTTCTTTTCCTTGGTCCTAGTGTCTTTATTTTGTGTTTCTGTGGAAAGATTTAGGATGTAAATAACATATCTACTGTTCCTTCCGTAGATTCCAGCTCTCCTGTTGGCTTTGTGCTTGGAGTGGATCTTCTTCACATAACTCCCCTGGAAGGAGCAACTTTTCTGTGCTCTGCTGATGTGACTGACCCGAAAACCTTGCAGAGGATCCTAGAACTGCTTCCTGGGGGGAGGGCAGATGTGATTCTGAGCGACATGGCACCCAATGCCACTGGGATCCAGGGGCTTGATCATGACAGGCTTATCGGCCTGTGCCTGTCACTTCTGGACATGGCTTCAGTTGTCCTGCACCCAGGGGGAACATTGCTTTGTAAGACCTGGGCTGGAAGTCTAAGCCAGCGATTTCAGAAGAGATTGAGAGAGGAATTCCAGAACACAAGAACTGTGAAACCCACGGCCAGCAGGAAAGAATCATCAGAGGTGTACCTCTTGGCCACACAGTACCATAGAAGGAAGGGCTCTGTGAAGCCGTGAGAGATCCTGCCATTCTTAAATGGATGCTGTGTCTTTTTAAACTGTGGATGTGGCCTGAGTGCTTTCCTGAGGAGTGGCTGGGAGCTTTGCTGTGACCATGAAGGTCTTTGATTCAAACCAAACAGAGATGACATACTATATTTAAGGGCCATGAAAAATGATTAAAACCAGGCTTCTATATCATGATTTTTTTTTTTTTAATATTTTATTTTTTAGTTATTGGCAGACACAACATCTTTGTTTGTATGTGGTGCTGAGGATCGAACCCGGGCCGCACGCATGCCAGGCGAGCGCGCTACCGCTGAGCCACATCCCCAGCCCTCTATATCATGATTTTTGCAGAGAAAGTTATCAGGAGAAAGATGTAGAGACTGAAGGATGTAAAGAGATGGGAGGATAAAAATGACTTGCTGAGACAGAGCAAGTAGAACTTTCTCAGCTTATAGACTCTTAGCCTAGTACAGAGAAACAGGTGTTCCTTTACTGCTTTCTGAACACAATAAATACATTGTTTCCCAGTTGTTATTTTGGCTATATAGTATAAAGTAGAAAAATCTGAAATTTCCATCTGGGGATTAATTTTCATCTTTCTGGTGAATAATCTGGAAATACGTTCTATCTTAAAACAGTGAGAACTCCCAGAGCAATTAGGAGGGACATTTGGTATGGATTTATGCACGGAGTGGGTGTGCTTTGGTTTGTGCTGGAAGTATGTATTGCTGTGGTGTAGCAGGCTCTCAAGACTATAAATTGCAAAGCCAGCAATGCATTCATTTAGCCTTATTTTTCTAGGAACTCCATGCAGCTTTTTTTTAAAAAAATATTTATTTTGTAGTTTTAGGTGAACATAATATATATATATTTTTTGAACACAATATTTTTATGTGGTGCTGAGGATCAAACCCAGTGCCTCACTGAGCCACAACCCCAGCCCTCCATGTAGCTTTATGAGAGAATATAGATTGCATTATTTTAAGGAATTTCCATGACTTAAGTTTTGCTTTTGTTTTTCAAAAATTTCTTTCAAAAAGAAATCAAAACTGATTTCTTTCAAGCCATTTTGCAAAGGGGAGGGTCCCTGAAGATGTGTCTATAGACTAACACTAATGTAATGCCAAAGGCCTGTGGAAAGACTGGGTGCCCTGGAGCGAATGAGTGCTAGGTCTTCTTCCAGCCTCCTGAAGCCTCCTGAAGGGGGCTGCTGATCAAGTATTTTTGCTCTCCATTTTATTTTTAGTTGTGGTCAGGTAAAATCCCTAGAAACTCCCGCATACTCCCCCACTGCATTTCCCTCCTATCCATTTCCTTCCCGGACACACAGACTGGATCATCTGTCCTCTGGGGGAAGGAAACATAAGTGCAGACCGTTGGAGCAGCACCTTCCAAACAGGGGCTGGAGGGAGGAGGGGAGAATTCAGAAACATCTTTTTTTTTTTTTTAAAGAAAGAGGGAGAGAGAGAGAGAGAATTTTGATATTTATTTTATAGTTATCTGCGGACACATCTTTTCTTTTGTATGTGGTGCTGAGGATCGAACCCGGGCCACACGCATGCCAGGCGAGCGCACTACCGCTTGAGCCACATCCCCAGCCCCGCAGAAACACATCTTCATAGGTGGAAGTGTCACCATACTCCATCGGATTTTCCCTGCTTTGAAAGTCACCCCAGCTGTCTGTACCGGCTCAGACCGGTGCTGTGCACTCTGATGGGGAGGACAGAGCTCTGGGGAGCAGCATAAATACTATGTATTGCCAGTGGTCCCGGAGAAGAAGAAAAGAATGTATTTTTAATTAAACCAAACTGTACAAGCAAGATTTGGGGAAGAGTCAAGAATGCAAATAAATTTGTCCCAAAGAAGCCACTGTGGGCGCTGCTATTCAGAACATTACGGCGCGAGGCGGTGGCCCTAGTGCAAGCGTGTTCGGTGGGGTGGCCGGGCGGCCCGAAGGTACGGTGTTCCAGATCTGCTTCCGAGTCCCATTCTGCTCTGGCTTCTTCTGGGTTGGGCGGCTCCGGGTGGGGACACGGAGCCCCAGGGGGTGAGGCGCGCAGACTCGGTTCTTTACGGCGGGCCTCCAGTCGGTCTCGCGAGAGCGCCGGCTCATATCTCGCGATAAGTGGGCRCGGGCGGAGCGGAGGGAGATCCGAGCAGCGGCGGCAAGCGCGAGCAGGCGACTGAGGTGAGCGGTGGAGGGCTAGGCGCGGGGTCGCGGGCTCAGGATCCCGGGGGCTGGGCGGCGCGGCGGAGAGGGCCCTGGCCCGGGGCTGACCGCAGTCGGCGCGGGTGCCGCCCCCTACGTCCCGGCGGTCTGGAGACCCCACGTCCCTTTCGCAGCCCCTGCTGTCCTAGCAGGGTCCGTCGTTCTGTTGGGGTCTGCGCGTAGCCCTGTTCTGGAGACCCCTGGTCTACCCTCGCCACCTGTCCCTGCCCCTGTCATGACGGGGTCTGTAAGCGYTTTGCCTGGGAGACCCCCGCCTGCACTCGCCCCCTAGCCGCTCTTAGTGACCTGGGCCAGTCAACTCGCAGCTGTGGCTCCTCTGAGCATCCATTGGCAAGAGGCCCCTAAGGAGCTAGAGCCAGCGCGTGGAGAGTAGTGGTGACTGCTGTCCCCCTGAGCCGCCCCGGCTGTCTGCACTGGCCAAGCAGGCATCTTGTTGGCTTCTGGAGGCACCGTGTGCCCAGAGTCCAGCTGTTTGGGGTAGTGACAGGGATAGTGTGTGTTTAGAGAAGGCAGGATTCACCAGGGGATCAGGGCAGTGAGTTTTCTTGGACACTTCTTACTTTTAGTTTTATTTTTTGATATTGGAGATTGAACCTAAGAGCGCCTTACCACTAAGCTACATCTCCAGCCATTTTCATTTTTTGAGATAGGGTTTCGCTAAATTGCTGAGGGTCTTGTTAAGTTGCCTAGGCTGGCCTCTGCATTTGCAGTCCTCCAAATGATTGGGATTACAGGCTTGCACCACTTTGCCTGGATCTTGGTCACTTATTTAAATTTTCTCTGCCATTTCTCTTTTGAGGCTGGAAGGGTAGTATGCTCCTGACTCCCATATCAGGGGCTGTCCAGAGGTGTTGGGGGTTCCACCTTAAGGAGGCTGGAAGGTTTGAGCCTCAGGTGTGTATGGTGTGGATGGAGCAGCCTGGTTCCAGGAAGTTGAAAATACAGTGTTCTTTTCACTTTAGTATATTAATGGGTCAGTTCTCAGGGGATGGTGTTTGGAGAAGAGGATGGAAAGTGTGGCTCTGGTCTGAACTTGGAAAATAGATTTGGGCTTGGAGGGTAGAGCTCTGTTTCCTGCCTGGGTTTACCAGGCTCACAGCACTGAAAGCTCAGATTGACTCCATTCTCAAGGTTCTTTTAAGTCAGAAACTCAGAGACAAGCTAAGTTATTGTTATTATTTTTTTTCTTCTGGAGACAGGGTCTTGCTTTGTTGTCCAGGCTGGCCTCAAACTTGAGATAGTCCTTCCTCAGTCTCCTAAGTAGCTAAGATTATGAGCACCCACTCAAAAAAAAAATGTTTTTAAAGGGGTTTGTGTGTATTTTCATTCTGATACCAAAGGGAAATGAACTAGCACTGCCCCTTCCTAAGGGGAGAAATATTATGTGCCTGTCGGGGGAGTTCAAGCCTCTTGGCCATAAATGTATGTGGGATGTTCCACACCTTTTGGCTGGTGGCAGCTGGCATGACATGTAGTAAGCACAGGTGTTGAGGAAGCAGTTCTTTTACACATGAGCTTGTGGAATGCATGCTACCTTCAGACTAATCAGACCCAGCTTCTGATCTCTTCTGTACCTTTTTTTTTTTTTTTTTTTTGTACTGGGGCTCATTACCACTGAGCCACTTCACCAGACCTTTTTATTTTTTATTTTGAGACAGGGTCTTGCTAAGTTGCTTAGGGCTTGCTAAGTTGCAGGGGCTGGCTTTGAACTTGTGATGTTCCTGCCTCAGCTTCCCCAGCCTCTGGGATTACAGGTGTGTGCCACCGCACCCAGCCKTTCTGTACCTTTTTTTAAATGATTTTTTCCACAATAGTTTTATTCTATTTATTTATTTTTATGTGGTGCTGAGGATCGAACCTAGGGCCTCACACATGGTAAGTAGGCGCTCTACCACTAAGCTACAACCCCAACCCCAGTCTTGTTCTGTACCTTTTCGAAGCTTCAGTTTCATCATCTGTAAAATTTCTAAGAAGACTGAATACACCAACTTGTTTTGAATATTGAGCTGTTGTTTTCTAATGTATAAGCAGAGTGCTGGTCAAATGTGAGGTGACAGTTGCACAATCTACCGTTTGGGTACATGTGGGATGCCTCTTCTCTGGGACTTGGTTGGAGGGAGTGATGGCACTTACTGCTATTGCTGTTAATGTGAAGTCACACTTGTGTTCCTGTGCCCACCATTGCCTTTATCATGCTGTTGCATGCTTTGTTTCTGATTTCCCAGAGGCTGCTGGGCTGCTGAGCATCTTCTCTAGAGAGCTGGCTGTCCATTTGTTTTGTTGGCCAGTACTCAAATAGTGACTTGGTGACCGTTTTTTCTCCCCCAGTTCTGAGCATTGAACTCATGGGCTTGTGCATGCGAGGTGAGCACTTTGCTACTGAACTATATCCCCAGCTCTTTTTATTTTGAGAGGAGGATCTCACTAAATTGCTGAGGCTGGCCTCAGACTTGTGATTCTCCAATCTCAACCTCCTGAGTCATTGGGATTACAGGTATGGCTACTGAGCCTGGTATTTGCATGCTTTTATGCCTCATTTCCTCTTGGTAAATTGGTGGCGTGAACTCTCTGTTTCCTTTGAAGAAAGTGGTTGTGGGCTCTGAGAAGGCATTAGGGMTGTCCAAAAGCATTGCTGATGGTGGCATCTGATGATCTGTGGAAAGGCTGACTCTGACTTTTTTTGTTCTCCCAGAAGGAAAGTGACCATGGAAGACCTGGGGGAGAACACCACTGTCTTGTCTACCCTGAGATCTCTGAATAACTTCATTTCTCAGCGAGTGGAGGGAGGATCCGGTCTGGATGTGTCCACCTCTGCCCCAGGTTCTTTGCAGATGCAGTACCAGCAGAGCATGCAGGTGAGGGGCATGTGCTGGGTGGGGTCTCTGTTAAAGACACCTAGGCTCAGGTGGGGCCTGTTCAAGTTCTACACAATTGAGGCAGGTGAGTATTAGGTAGGCTTAGAGGCCAGTTGTGGTCTTCTAGATCTCATCCTGGGCATTTATCATTTGGGGTGCTAGTTGGAGACCAGGACCTGCCCTGAACTGTCATGGTTAAAGGCCTGCCTCATAAGCACCCCAAGAGTGGACATGTGCATAGCCGTGGGTTCATACTGATATATTCATGGATGCCAAAAAGCCAGTCTGTTCATTTAATTGAGGACAAAACCCAACTGCGTAGGAGCATGGGTGCCAGAATTATGAGCATACTGTCCCCTTGAAGATGTAACATAGAGAGGCTGTATTGTAAACACAGGCACCTGGTCGCCTAGTCAGCCTAGTGAGAAAGCCAGGGCAATAAGCGGAGGGACCTGATATTCTGTTTTAGCCTATAGGGGGCAATTTGCAGATCCTGTGATTTTTGCAGTTTTCTCTGATTCCAAGTTCTTGAGAATGCTCACTATGGATACAGTTGCAAAGGGTTCAGGTCTCCTGAAGGACTTCAGGCCCTAGAGAGTCATGGGCTTAGTCCTATTCTGGGCTGGGACATCTGGGCCCCCAAGGAAAGAAGTGGTRTCTTGGCCTTGCCTGAGCCCTGTCACTGCACCATTGCTGTACCATCCTCCTCTCGGTCTTCCCTGCTTGTGTCTATCTTTCTCTTGTCCACCCTGCATGTGCTCTGGATTCTGTGACCCATGTCAACTGAACCAGGTAAGGCTCATGTACTGATTGGCAAAAAGGATGGTGTTTGTGTGGTTTATTCAGTGATGGAATTACTGTTAGAGCACTGAGCTGCACACTGCCCTTTCTTGGGTCATTATTCTGAGATTAGACCTATTATACTTTTTGTGGTAAAAAAAAAAAAAAAATATTTTTTGTAACCTGGGAATTGAACTCAGGGGGCACTCTCTCACTGAGCACATCTAGCCCCCTCCAGCCCCCCCCCCCCTGTTTTTTAAATTTTGAGACAAGGTCTCACTAAGTTGATGAGGCTGGCCTTGAACTTGAAGGTTCTCTTATCTCAACCTCCTGAGTCACTGGGATTATAGGTGTGTACCACCACTGTTATGAAGAGGCAGTGTTAATAGGTGGTTATTATCTTTGATTTCTGGCAAAATAAATTGGTAACTTTGGTCTTAAAAAATGCTATGATTTTAAAAAGTGGCATAATGTTATTGATGCAAATGTCTGGGAAATTTAGCTTGTCAAAATCCATGGGAAAATGTATGCCAGATATCGAGGCGCACGCCTGTAATCCCAGTGGCTCAGGAGGCTGAGATAGGAGGACCGTGAGTTCAAAGCCAGCTTCACGATGGCAGGGCGCTTAGCAACTCAGTGAGATCCTGTCTCTAAATAAAATACAAAATAGGGCTGGAGATGTGGCTCAGTGCCTGAGTGCCTCTGAGTTCAGTAATCCCTGATACAAAAAAAAAAAAAAAAAAAATCCATGGGAGCTGGGGATATAGCTCAGTTGCTTGCCTCACATGCTCAAGGTCCTGGGTTCAATCCCCAGCATCACCAAAAAAAAAAAAAAAAGAGGAAAATCATGGGATTCTTTAATCAGAATTGGACCTTGGAGGTCCCCATTGTTTACTGTTACAGACTTCCTCAGGTAGGGATCAGTGATCAGTCTGTACCCAAGTAAGGTGGGTAGGAATCATGATTACAGACCTGTCTGGGACCTGACTCTGGTCATGTCCTGCCCTGGATGCCAGTCATGGTTCTTTTTYTTCCTTTCAAGGCTCCCTGAGTTGTAGGTGAGGGACCTGAGGACAATCTGGGGAATTTGGAGGCAAAGAKAGATGGGGTGTCTTGTCTGCCAGGTGCCTGCCCCTCTTTTTAGCCCTTGTTTTAGTTGGGAGTGTTTAGTTGGGAGTGTATTAAAAAACCTCAGTGTTGTTTAAACACAAAGGAAAGTTTTAAGTTGTTCTTGACACATAGCCGGCGGGCAAGTATGGTGCCCTTGGTCCCTGTGTGGTGACATCCCTATAGATGAAGAGATTCTGACTTTCTGAGACAGAGTTAAGAATGAGAAGGCTAGTGAGTATGAAGAATGGGCTTAGGAACCTCCAAATATCAACAGGTCAGAGTTACAATGAGGTGAAATGTAATAAGAATAAAGAAAGAACCCAGGTGGGAGGGCCAGGGGAGGAGCATTGCTTTAGCCAGGGCCCTCACCCTGTGGGCACTGTTGGCATGGAGCTGGGCACTTTTTTTTTTTTTGCAGAACTTTCCTGGGCACTGTCAGATGTTTAGCAACAATCCTGGGCTTCTGCCCTTGTGTATCGGTGGGCAGCAGCACTATTATTTCCATTCGGTAACAATCAGAAATGTCTCCAGACAGTGCTAAGTGTCCCCTGGGGCAAGTTTGCCCCTGTAGGGGACCATGCTAGCCCAGTGGTTTACAGACTTTAATGTGTATGTGAGCCTCCTGAGAATGTGTCTAGAAGTGATTCTGATTCAGCTCAAGGGTCTGTGTAGGTTAAATGTTTGGGAGGTTCTAGGCAGCAAGGCTTTGGTCCCAGTGAAAACAGTGACTCTGAGAGACTGTGGGCGTGTCCTCTGGGGCCCTTTGAGGCTTGRATCACCTGCAAGTACTTATCTCTTGTGGGCCTACTTCTAAAGTAGCCCCCAAATTCTGGCCCCATCGTAGACTCTAACCTTCTGGTTACTCAATTGAATGCTAACTTGGTGTTGTTGCAGTGGGATTTCGAAGATCTAATTAACGTTGCCAATCAATCAGTGGACCTTAAGTTGGGGAGGTTCCCTGGGTTTCTGATCTAATCACATGAGCCCCTTAAAAAGATTGAGTCCAGATGTTAGAGTCAGAAGAGTTGGACTCAGTAGGGGAGGGAGTAGGGCATGTGGTGAGGGGGGTGGGCAGCTTCCAGGTACTGACAGACAGCTGAGAAGTGGATCTTGTCTTTCACTGGTGGGCTAGCTAGGGGTTCCTGCCAACTGCCTTAATTTTAGTCTTAAGAGACCTTGATCAGAGAACCCAGCCACATGTCTGCACTTCTGATCTGCAGAGCCCACCGCCTGTTAATGAGTGGTGTTTTTAGCTGTCAAGTTTGTGGCAGTTTATTATACAGCTATAGAAAATGAACACACCTTCTTTCCTAGAACAAGCTCACCCACTGTCATCTTAAAATGTGTCTTAGAGATTCTCTTAATCTTTCCTTGCTTGTTGCCTCTCACCCACTTCCCACCTGGGGACCAAAACCTTGCTGGAGTGGCACTTGGGGTGTGTTGAGCTGAGCAACTTGCCTTGTTTGACGTGGCTGCTGAGGATTTTCTTTCTCTTTGGGTACGACCTTCTCAGTTGGAGGAAAGAGCAGAGCAGATCCGTTCGAAGTCCTACCTCATCCAGGTGGAGCGGGAGAAGATGCAGATGGAGCTGAGTCACAAGAGGGCTCGAGTGGAGCTGGAGCGGGCAGCCAACACCAACGCCAGGAACTATGAGGTGGGTCCAGGTGGGCAGGGTTTGTCCAATCAGCCTCTGGGGACAATAGGCTGGTTGCATGCTTACCAGGCTGTAAGAAGTCAGGAACCAGCCAGGGCAAACTGAGGCACTCTGCATAGCGATTGCCAGGTTGTTCCTCTGAGGATACCTATGGTGGGTCCATGTTAGCTGTGCTGGAGAAGGGTGGCTTGATATGGGGACAGCCACAAAGTAGGGATTCTCTGGCTGTGTTTACTGCTCAGTGAGGCCACAGTGCCAACAAATCTGCTGGGTGTCTTGGTTTCCTCTGTTCTCTGGAGAAATTGGAATGCAGATCTGGCAGATCTGGCAGATCTACCAAGTGGTGCAGGGGTGACAGGCTTAGAACATTACTGAGTTGCATGAATTGTCTCACCAGGGTGGTTGTAGGACCTCAGGAAAGTGCCCTACTCTCGCTGCTGTGCTTGCTCTTGGCTTCCCAGGACAGCAGGAAAGTGCAGCCTTGCAACTCCAGGGAGACTCAGTCCAGGAACCTTCTGTCGGCATCGCTTTGATTAACAGTCCTTTGCCAGGTTTTCACTAAGTGCTGATCAGTTGTAGAAAGGCTGCCAAGATTCAGCCAGTGCCACAGACCAGGGAATCTCTCAGGCCTTCCTCCCTTTCTTTTCTGGCCCCCACTTGCCGTGTATACATGTGCTCACAGTTTCCTGTCCCTGTGTAGATCTCCTCCAGGGTGTAATGCAAATTGGACTGTTAGAGCCAGGAATGTAGATTCCTGCCTTGGTGTGCTGTCTGGGCTCATGAGCCAAGACTTTGAAGTGCCATTTGTTGAGTGGACAGACAATACCAGGGGCCCTTGGACTGTATGAATATGCAGTGCTAATGGAAATGGTCCTGGCTCTCAGGCAGAAGGATGGGCCCTGGAACTATTGGAGTTTCTCTGGGCAAAATGCCTTGAAGGTAGGGCCTGTGTGCCTGCCCTGGATCTCCAATGTCTGGCACAGTTGGTGGTGCCTTGTGGGTACCTAAGAGCATTTGAGTGAGGAGTTGCAGCAGGGTCAGTTAAAGCTCAGGGGCACAGAGTGACAAACTTGGGAACTTGAGAAGCTTTTCATGACCACAGACATGCTGAGGGGCCCCGGGAGCCATGGAAATTAGTCGTTTTCAGATTGTCCCTGGAGTCTTGGCTTCTACATTGTTTTTTCAGGGGCTGCCAGGTTGCTGGTAGGTGGGTGTGGAGGACAGGCACTCCTTTTCCTGAAAATACTGATTAGATGGTAAGACCTAGGGTCTGAAAGCCTACCTGGGCTCCTCATCTGTGTTTGACTGGCAGTGCAGTAGTGATGTGTGGGAGGGCCCTGGGCTGACAGAGCAGTTTCTTTATTTTTGGGGGCTGGGATCAGGCCCATGTAGAACTCATGTGCTCTACCACTGAGCTATACCTCCAAGTCCCCTAATGGAAGATTCTTGTTCTGCCTTGCAAAAGGGTCCCCTGGCTATTTTAGAGGCTGCACTTGAAGTTGCATCCCCTTGAGTCCCCTTGTGGTGGAGATTGTCCTTCTTTCCATAAAGCTTCAGCCCTATATGTGTGCTTTTATTAAACCTATGTGTGTGCTTTTTGGGCTGGAATGTCCTAGAAAAGGGTGGCATAAGCGTTTACTCTGAGTAGGACCTGGGGGAAGTTCCTGGTGGTCCTAGGAGGGAGCTGGTGCTGGCAGCTTCCTGCTGAATCAGGCTGGTTGAGCTAGAAGGCAGGGTGCTGGGTGGGTGGCACTCACCATCTTTCTTCTTGGGATCTGGTTCCTACTATCTGGTCCTTTTTCAGGGTCTGAAGGTGAACCCTTCAGGCCCTCATGAGTTGTCACAGTGGCATGTGTCCTAGTTCTGTCCCTTCCTCACCAGCATAAGCAACATGGCCTCCCTGAGGGTAACGATATGTGGTATCTTTGAAGGGCCACGTGACCAGATACACTTGTGGCAGATCTAGCTCCCCTGTAAATGGTTCCGTTAGCAGGCTGACTTCCACCTGTCCCTGCTCCAGTCATTGGCTCGTTGGGAAGTGCAGACTCATTTTAATGATGGCCTGAGTGCAGTTCGACAAGATCTGCTGGTGCTGCAAAAGCTCAGCTTTTTTCCAAGGTCGATTCTGAATTTTACATTTTCCATGCTCCATCTCATCCCTGCTCATCACTGAGCAGTCAGTTTAATGAGTGTGTGGTGTCATCCATGCTGAGTGCCCTCCAAGGGCCCTGGTTTCTTTCAGTGGGAACTGTTATGCTACTGTGGCAGAAGCACTGGCACTGCCATCCCAGTCCCAGGTTTTCACCTGGTTTTGCTTGGGACTTGGCTGATGGTTCTGTCTGGCTATTCTGTGGGCCTGAATGGCCTAAGTCGGGACTGGAGTATCCTTGTCCTGATACTCCTTTGGGATTTCAACTCTCTCTGGCCATGATCTTCCTTCTCCATAGCGTGAGGTTGACCGCAACCAGGAGCTCTTGGCGCGTATTCGGCAGCTTCAGGAGCGGGAGGCTGAGGCCGAGGAGAAGATGCAAGAGCAACTGGAGCGCCATAAGCTGTGCAAACAGAGCCTGGACGCTGCCAGCCAGCAGTTGCGGGAAAAGGAAGATGGCCTGGCCACAGCCAGCGAGGTAAGCACGGGCCTGCATGCAGGCCCTGGGGTTTGCTTTCTTGCCTTCAGCCATTTTCCAAGGGAAAAGAACAAGTGACCTCCCAACTTCACCTAGTAGCAAAGAGGCATCCTTTAAACTATGCTCCTCACATGTGCACCTGCAGTTTTTGCATGGTCATAATCAGAGTAAATAAATTAATTTTCCATTCTGTGATTTTCAATTAGTAAGTGGAGCCCTTTTTTGTTCTTTGTAAATATGAATTTTAATGGTTGGCTAATCCATTTTTGTCCTTTTTCCAGTGTTTGGTTTCCTTGTGTTTGCCCCGATAGCCCCCTGACAGGTAGTTTTGTGCGTGCACTCTGTTTATTTCTGTTATGTTTTGTTTGGACAGACCCGAGGAATAGGGTGGCAGACCCGAGGAATAGGGTGGCAGACCCAGTCCTAGCTCTGTGGTGGTTGTTGCTAGTTGCTGGGTTGTGTTGATAACCACCACAGAGTATCTAGTATTGCTGTAGCTTTCCCTGTTCGTAGATGGTGGTATGTTCTGGAAATACTTTTTTCTTTCTTTCCAGAAGATGTAAGTAGGTGCCTCTGGATTTGCATTTCTTTGATTATCAGCAAAGTCTTTTAGCATCTCTCAGCATCAGAGACTGCCTTTAAACCAGGATGTATATGAGCTGTAGTCTCAGGGACAGCTATGTATGTTGTAGAGACAGCCTGAGCGTTAGTGCTGGTGGGTACTGGACTCCTCTGACCTTCCTTGTTCCTCTTCTGTGGTGTTCAAGATCACAGGTGCCGAGAGGAAACAAATGAGAACCGCCTGAGGGGGGGACACCATGTCGCATCATTGGTATTCTGTCTCCGTGTGGCTTTCTCCACTTGATAGATCCTCAGGAGCGGGCTGTAGGTTATTTTTGCCTTGGCAGCACTGGGGAGCATGTTAAGGTTGTTCCCACATCTGTCTTCTGAAGTGAGTGTTGGCAGGAGAGGAGGCGTGATCAGCTTCCAGAGAAGCTGGCTCCTGCTTCTGGAGAAGCGGGCTCTCTGTGGGCCCTGGGATCTGCGTTTTGGGCTGTGTCGATGTTCTGTGGCCAAAGGGAGCTATACATATACTTCAGTCAAGGGTAGAAGAGGTGGTCCTGAGTGGGGCCATGTCCTCAGAGAAGCCCTCTCTCATCACTCAGTTCAAAGTCATAGGTCTTCCCCGTTGACTGCATTCTCCTATCACAGTGCCCCAGTTTATGTTACTTGCCACTCTGAAGTTCTCCGTTTCATCTGTTTACTTGCTGATGGTCTGACTTTCCCCAGGATGTTTGTCCTCCATCAGGGCAGGCTGGCTCTGGTGTAGTGCTTAGTGCTCAGTGCGTGTTTACTGAACTCAGCAGGCCATTGATGGATGTGTGTGTGTGTGTGTGTGTGTGTGTGTGTGTGTGTGTGTTTTTAAAATATATATATTTAGTTGTTGATGGATCTTTATTTTATTTACATGTGGTGCTAAGAATCAAACCCAGTGCCTCACACATGCTAGGCAAGCACTCTACAACGGAGCCACAACCCCAGCCCAGTGGATGTGTTTTTAATAKCTCTATTTCTTTTTTCTTTTTCTTTCTTTTTTTGGTATGGGGGTTTAACCTTAGGACATCCCTATCTCTTTTTATTTTTTATTTTGAGACTGGGTCTCACTTGTTTAGGGCCTTGCTGAATTGCTGAGGCTGGTCTTGAACTTTTGATCCTTCTGTCTCAGCTTCCTGAGTTGCTCTGATTATAGGCGTGAGCCACCATGCCTGGCACCTCTGTTGTTTTTTGAGTCCCACTGTGGTGCTCACTCTTGTGATAAAGTGAACCATACAGATTGTTGAGTATGGGGTGCCCCATGTGTGTCCCCTAGAGGGTCATGCTTTGAATAGCACCAGTGTGTTTCCCTGGGTCCTGGGTTGGGTACAGTTCTCAGGAAAAAGAAAGGAGTGCTGTGGCTTCTCTGCAGAGGATACCACCTCGGGAGGCCCCTTGCCCCCTACAGTTCTACCCAGTGTGAGTTACTGTGGTGAGATTGCTGGACCCACCGTCTTGCCCTCTGTGTGGGCTCCCTAGGGTGGAATTTAGGCTGTGTTAGTTTGCATGACAAGGAACAGGGCTGGTTTTTTGTGTTGGCTTGACCAGCATGCTCTTTCCCTCAGGAAGGGGTTGGTGGTGGATGAGGTGATGTCAGAGCAAAGAGTGGTGGTTCCTTCACATGCCTATTCTGTGGTGTCAGGTGGWCTTGTCCCTCCTGGAGGCTGCTGGATGGGCCCTGCTGGTTTTGCTCTGGGACTGTCTCTGAGTACTGTAGCCAACCCAGCTGGTTCTAAACCAGCTTGCTGGCCTGGGAGTGCTGCATCCTTACTGATGRTTGGAATTGTGGTGTGAGGATGGTTAGAGGAAGAATTCTGGGTTGAGAGCATAATGAGAGCCAAAGAGTAGAGGGAAGGCTAAGGTGGATGCATGGTGTAGGGACACTGTGGGCCTAGGGTAATGGGTATAGAGGCCACCAGGCCTGAGAGGCTAGTGGCAGCTTTGCTCTGGGAGTCCCAGGACTAGCTTTTCTCGAGGGCCTGGTTGTAACCCAGATCTGTCTGTCAGCTTGTGGGGACTATGACCCAGGGTTCTGGCCTGCAATACTTCTGAGAGTGTCTGTCTCATTTACCCAGGTGTAGGCTCCCCAGGGGTGGGCTCTGTTCCCACCCCATGGTAACAGGCAGGAAGTGATGGCCCTTCCTTTCACTGTAACTTGCCGGGAAGTTACGTTTGCATCCATGAGCCACCTGGAATCCCCTCTCCTTTCAGACCATCAATGTGTTAAAGGGTCGTGTCTCAGAGCTGCAATGGAGTTTGATGGACCAGGAGGTGCAGGTGAAGCGGTTGGAGTCTGAGAAGCAGGAGCTGAAGGAGCAGCTTGAACTGCAGCTCAGGTGAGGAGAAAGGAGCTTGGGGATGCGGGGCTTTGCCTCTGTGTCTGTGCCAGGCCCTGGATGCTTTTCTCACCGCAGGCTGCAGGAGGGACTGACACAAGGCCTCTGAAACTGGGATTCTAAGTGCTAGGATAGGGGGTGTTTTAAATGTTTTTGAGCCAGGATGAGGGCAGCAGCTCCTCCTTCTCAGGGTGGCACACCTTTTCAGAGCAAGCTTCCAGAGAAGATCTTATGCTGAGCTAGGTTTTGAAGAACATGCAAGACGTCCCTCGAGTTTGTGTGGGCTGTGGATGGGAAAGGACATTTTAGGTTTGGGGGACATGGTAAGCAAGATAGATGTGGGAAAATCTGGAGGATGGTGTGGTCAGGAGGCTTTGGGTTCTCTCTTGAGGAGTTGACCCTTCCCTTACCAGCTGTAATCTGAGTTTTTTGCTTCTTGGGGAGAGGGGTGATCAGGTCTGAGTGGGTCCTTTCTGTGGTTGCATCAGGTCTGGTGATCACTGGTGGAGGGTGAGCAGTGTGTGGAGAACTGTGGGGTGCTGTCAGTGGCCGATGTTCATCCACGGCACCATCCAGATGAGAGCCACTGCAGGGGCTACTCCAGGACCTGGGTGTACCCTTGTAGTGGCCTTGTCTGTGCCAGGAGCTTAGGCTGAGAGTATTCTTAAGATGTCCCTTCATGTCATGCACTCTTCTCTGAACAGGAAATGTCAGGAAGTTAATCAGAAAATTCAGGAACTTCAGGCTAGCCAAGAAGCAAGAACAGACCAAGAACAGAAGATTAAGGTGGGTTGCTCTGTGTCAACCTTGTGTGKGTCCTGCAGGCATCTCAGGGGTGGTCTTAGCCCTTCTGCCACCCACTATTTGCAGGCCTTTCTGAGCTGAAGGTGCCCTCAGTGGATGTTAGCCACTGTCCCATCTTCTAGGTACTGTGCTGGCTGCCAGGAGGCCACGGTGAGCGAAATAACCATTTCTGCTCCCAGGAAGCTTGTGTCCTAGTGAAGAAAGGCCCACTAGAAACACAAGGAAAAAAGTGACATTGGAGATGGTACAAAGTAGACCTACAAAAGTTGAAACCCTGCCCATAGTCACATACTGGAGAGTCACTGAAATGGGTCCCCAAGCCAGGTCCATCTGATGGGAGCTCAGGCCACATGTTTCACTGTGGAGGGTGTTGCCAGAAAGATGATACCTTGAGATCCCTTCCATGGCCTCTTGTTGCCTTTGGAGTAACAACCAGGCCCTTCAGGAGACCCGTGGCCATGGCTCCCTATAGCTTCCCACTGTGCCTGCTTGGGCAGGTTGTGCGCTTTGCTCCTGCTCTCCTTGACTGCCAGCCTGCTTGGCACCCCCACTTGCCCCCCACAACTCGCCTTCTTGGTTARCTTCTCCTGAACCTTGTCCTTCCCTCTATGACCCTTAGCCCACCTCTCAGTCTTTGCTTGCCTGATTTGTATTCTGTGTCACTCTGCCTCTGCCTCTTGACTTAGCCCCTTACAAAGCTGGACTCTGTGCCACTTATTATTATTTTTTTTGTTTTTGTTTTGCTGGGTAGGAGGGATTGAACTCAGGCACTTGACCACTGAGCCACATCCCCTGCCCTATTTTGTATTTTATTTAGAGACAGGGTCTTACTGAGTTGCTTAGCACCTCACTAAATTGCTGAGGCTGGCTTTGAACTTGCAGTCATCCTGCCTCAGCCTCTTGAGTGGCTGGGATTATAGGCATGCACCGCTGTGCTTGGCTTTAGTGGCACTTATTGATAGACCAATTTGGATATAGTTTTGTACTCAGCCTGTTTGGCGATTGTCACTAAATGCCAGTGTGCTTCTGTTGAGTCCTAAGGTGACAGATGTTGCAAAGAAGTCTGTTCTTGCAGTTGAAATGGACTCAGTTGCTGCAGGAGTGCTGCTGATGCAGAAGTGACTTCATGTAATGAGAACGTTATGTCCTTGCTGAGTGTCTTTGGTCCAGGTGTGCCAGTGGTTCCTTCTGGATAAATCAGTCTGGGAGGAACCAGATGGATGGATGCATTTATGTGGTGTGGATGGATGCTGGCACAAGTGGGCAGGGCTAGAGGTGACTGAAGAGGACACAGCCAGAGTCACATCAGGTGCAATCTCAGGAGGGATCTGGGGTTGGGGCCTAATCCAGGGAGATTGCCGAGGTTCTTATACTGGGACAACTTAGCAGAGGAACTTTGTGGTTCCTATGAGTAGACTTTATTTTTTAGAAAAGTTTTAGGTTCACAGCCAAATGGAAGAGAATATACAGAGGATTTCCAGACCCCTTGTCTCCCACCATCATCTCCCCGCAGTTAGCACCCGCTTCAAAGTGGATCTTTGCCACAGTTGACTAAGCCGCATTGACTCCTCATCACCTAGTCCACAGGCTACACTGGAGTTCACCCTTGGGGGCCACATTCTGAACAGATGCACCCTGACATGTGTCCCCCATTGTAGTGTCTTGCAGCCCTCTGAGCACCACTTGCTTTTCCTCCTCCCCCTTAGGGCCACTGCTATCTCACTGCCCCATCCTTCTCCTCTCTCCAGAGTGTCCTGCAGGCGGAAGCCACCACATGTGCCTTTTCAGACTGGCTTCTCACTTAGCTGAGACTTGCGTTTCCTAGGTGTCCCCTGGCTGCTCACTTTTCTTTCCTTTCTTCCTCTCTGCCTGCCTCCGTCAGGACCTGGAGCAGAAACTGTGCCTGCAGGAGCAGGATGCTGCCGTGGTGCGGAGCATGAAGTCTGAGCTGCTGCGGCTTCCCAGGATGGAGCGGGAGCTAAAGCGGCTGCGGGAGGACAATGCACACCTGCGGTGAGGAGCTGGGATGAGGCCCAGCCGCTTCCAGATGCAACTGGGGTTCATGGGGTGGGTTTGTCCCCTGTATATGTGGCTGTGGGAGTGACAGTTTCTGGCCTTGCAGGGAGATGAGGGAGACCAACGGGTTGCTCACAGAGGAGCTGGAGGGACTTCAGAGGAGGCTGGGCCGCCAGGAGAAGATGCAGGAAACTCTGGTTGACTTAGAACTGGAGAAGGAGGTAAGGGTTCAAGTGGGCAAGCCGTGCCTATGGGACTGTCCTTAGCCCTCTCCAGAGGACTCTGGCCATTTCCATCTTGTGCAGTAGCTGGTTACCTGTAATGTACTTATTGTCATGGCAGTGTGGTAGGAAGAACATTGGCCCTCAAGAGGTCCATGTCCTAATCCCAGAACCTATGAATGCACGTGACAAGGTTGAATCTGCTAATCAGCTGGCCTGCAGTGGGGGAGGATCCTGGTTGTCAGGTGGGCTGCATGGTCTCAAGGAAGTAGGAGAGGAAGACCTGCCTGCCATTGCCAGCTGTGAGGGTAAAGGCAGCAGGTGTGGGCAGCCCTAGAAGCTGGAAAAGACAATAGATGGATTCTCTTGGGAGCCCCTAGAAGGAATGCAGCTGGCCCACACCTGAATTTTAGCTCAGTGAGAACTAAGTGGGATTTTGGGCTTAAGTATTGTAGGAAACTGTGTTGAAGCCACTGAGTTTATGCAGTTTAACTCAGGGCTATAGAGGACTGGCACAGAGGGTGTGCCAGCAAGGAAATGGCACACAGTGCCTACATGTGAGAACATGATGGAGAGCCATGCTGGGTGTTTTCTTCTGATCTGTCATTGTAACTTACCAGTGACGCTGTGTGGGAAAATGCCATTGCTGTACAGTATYGGAAAGTCACCTTGTGGTTGGAGGAGGAAATGGAGGGTCAGTGTCCAGTGAGTTTGGACCAGAGCTGAGGATTCCTGGCTCCTGCCTGRAGTTTTTGTGCTTTTTACTGCTTCTCCTGAGTCACTCTGTTGCTGTTCTACCCTGGTTTGTCTGACATGCTCCACGCCACTGTTCCAACCATCTTAACCATCTTTGGCCACCCTGAATTACACTGGCCACTTCCTGACCTGGGGAGCACTCTTTGTCCTTTTTTGGAGCTTCAAGACAGCTCAGAGCCATTTGGGGCCACAGAGCCCTCTGAGCAGCTGCTGTGGCTGTTTGCCATCAGTGGGGCCTTCCAGGGCGGCTCCTCCTCAGAGGTAGCTTCTGTAGGAGTGTATTGGAAAGTCAACTGTCAGCCAACTGCTCTTCTCTTTTTTCTCTGGACATAGTTATTTTTGAAATTGTTTTAAGATTTGGGGGTTTAGAATTACATTGCTTGTAGTTTGAAGTCCTGCTGTGGATGCTTGCTGACTCTTTGACTGGGCCAGTTCCTTAACCTGTTTGTCTCTTCATCTGCAGGGTGAGGAATAGTAACAGTGTCTGCCTCATGTCAAGTGTTCAGAGCAGGGCCTGGTGCATAGTAACTTGACCAGCACTGGCTGTAGGAAAGTTAATAACCAAGCATGTGCTTGGTACATAGAGGAGATCTGGAAATACTTGAATGAATGGTTTGTAGTAGCACTCAGCTGGTTATGGGAGGAGGTGACAGGAGGTCAAATCCAAGTGGTCCTTCCTTCAATTGCTTCAATTCCAGAAGGGCAACTTTCTGGGCTTTGGGCCAGCATTGAACAGGCCCATTCTCATGGGGCTTGCTGGTCCTAGTCTGCCATAGGATTGAGGAAAATTTGTCTGTTAGACTGAGTCCATCTGTCTGGGGCTTGGCATCCTGAGAGGTACTTGGGAGAGGGGAGAGGTGAGTCCTTAGGGTTCAGCTGCCCAGATCTGCACCCTGGGCACAAGAGACTGCAAAACCTTTGCACCCTCATGTTCCTTGTAGCTTGCTGGATTCACACTTGGATATACAGGTCCAGGAAGGAATGAGCTGTGTGCCGCATAGCTTCAACAGCTGGGAATAATAGCCTGATTGCTTTGGTGCATCCTTGGAGCAGCCACACATCTGAGCTCAGAGATAAGGGCAGATCCTTCCCTAAGATTGGGGGCTTAGTGTCTGTGTCATAGTGTTTTTGTGCCAGTTGTCTGACACATGGTGATAGGAGACCTGCCTATACCTGTTTTTCAGAGGCTGCTGGCGAAGCTGCAAAGCTGGGAGAATCTGGACCACACCATGGGCTTGGACCTCAGGTAGGTGGGCGCTGTCCCCCATCCCTACCTCTCTGGGTAGTTGGCTTCTATATTGAGAAGGCAGCCCTGCCTCTTTGTTCAGAGTCCTTTCCAGGTTGGGGTAGGAGCTTTGGACTCACCCTGCCTGTGTTTAGTGAGGCATTTCACAGTGGGAGGGAAAGGGGACTGATGGACTCTTCCTGTCTAAGTCTGAGTAATGCCTTCATTGAAAACCAGATGTCCTTGAGCAGATCAGGGGCAGCTGTCCAATCGCCTTGCATTGTCAGACTTTGTTAGAGGACTCTGTACATGCCCAGGAAGTAATTGCTTTGGGAGAAATAATTTCTTTTGTGTGATTGTAACCTGAGAGGTTGGGGATGAACTGGATTTAGGGTTAAGCCATGATAGTGGATGTTGTCTTACTCGGGCCCCTGGAGCAGCCTCTGTAACTTGTCTGTGCCAAGCTCATTGCCAGTGGGTGGGTGGAGGGATTCAGAATGGGCTGCATGTTGGAGCTGCTGGCCATCATGTTCTGACACATACAAAGGGCAGAGCTRTTCCTGTTACCAGTCCCATCTGTCTTCTGTCCCGTCTTTCTGGGTACCACTGCTCATCTGATACAGCACTGGCTTTGTGGTCCTCTGCCTTTTAGCTGCTGTGGCCCTCTGCAGTTTGATTGCCTCCCAGCCTTGGTYCAGCTCCCCCTTCTCAGTTCCCTATGTGCTCTAAGTCTCAGGGAGAGTGTGGATTGATCCTTTTGAATGAGTCATTGGACCCCAGAACACAGGCCTGTGAAGTTTAAGGAGCCTTTTGTTTTATTTGCTCAGGGGATTGTAAAACTTGCAGTTTCCTGGTGTCTTTCCTGCTGCTCTGGGAAAGTGAGGATTGAGACTTACTGAGCTGTCCTTTGCTATAATTATACATCGACTGCTGGCTCTGGAATCTGCCACCTTCTGATTGGCAATGTTGGCTTCAGTTCTGTTCCTTGACAATGCCTCTTGATTTTCTTTTTGTCTTGAGAAGTCACAGAGGACAGACCAGGCTGCTGTTTCCTCTTGAACTCCACCTGCAGAATCTGGGCTCATGGAGAGCTGGCCCAGCAGGGCTRATGCTGTCTGTTTCCTCCTGTTCTCTGAACTTGCTAGGTATCCAAATGGGTCTTGGAGCTTCTCTGATCACCCGACACATCTCCATTTCTTACATTTCTTGTAAGGGAGATAAGAAGCCCCTTGTGCCTGATTGGCTCTGTTGGAGAGGTCTGCCAGCAGCTTCTAGCATCAGTCAGATACGTGGAACTGATGTGGCTGGCTGCCATTCTGACCAGAATGGCAACAACTTCTCTGTCCAGGTTGGAATGTCCAGCTGCTCCTTGAACCATTTGGACCCATCCCTTCTGTCTGGGGACCCTGTTTTGTGGCTGGCATGAGGGTGGGCTGGTTCTTGGGAGGCCACATGCTATGTGTGTTGTTCTTCCTGCTGTCCCAAGTCCCTGGCGGTGGTGCCTGTTGCCATCCTGGGGCTGGGCAGGAAGAAGGAGTGGGCACTGCGGGCACTGTGTGTCCCCATCTAGGGCAAGTGGATCTGACCTTTGCCCCTTAGCTAGTGAGACCCTTACCAGGGGCCACACCACTYCAGGCCCCTCTTATCATGGCTGAAAATGAGCACAGTACTTCTTCCACTCAGTGCTTGTGAAGTAGAGCCAAATCACATCCTTAGGACATGCCTCAAGGTGTTACTGTCCTTTTGGAAGGCAGAGGGGTGCCATCCTTACTGTGGTGGACCCTTGGGCTCCTGAGGTTCCCTTGCTGGGGGACATCTGTGAAGGGCAGGTCTTTYTCCTGCTTCATGTGTTGTGCCTGGTTCTCTTTGGGCTGTTGTGGGGGCCTGGTATCTGTGCTACTTGCTTACATTCCTGCACCCCGCCCCCCTTGCCACCCAGCTGTCTGAGCACCCACCTTCTTGGGGTAGGCTTTGAGCTCAGGTGATTTGAGCGCCATGGTTATGCTTGTCCTGTAGGTCTGGCATACAGATCAGCTGCATTAGATGAGGCCCTTCATCAGAGTCACCTAGAGCTTGGGCCCTGGGGTGCAATTCAGTGTTAGAAAGGTGCTGTTAGCATGCATGAGGTGTTGGGATCGATCCTCAGCACCAAAAAAGAAGAGAATAATTTCTCCACTTAAACTGGATGTGGTGATGAATACCTGTAGTCTATTACTTGGGAGGCTAAGGCAGCAGGATCTCTTGAACCCCTGAGTTTGAGGCCAGCATGGGCAGCATAGTGAGACCCTGTGTTAAAAAAAAAAAAAATCATCTGGAGTTTGGAGAAAGTAGATTCCTGGGCTAAGCTCAGACCTAGTAGGTCAGCATCCCCAAAGGCTGGACTTAATATTGGGGTGACCTTGAGAACTGCCATGCTGAGGATTTTGGCTTTTTTTCTTTTTTTTCTTTTCTGGGGAAGCAGGTTTTGGGCACTAATTAGGGCTTTCTTTGTAGGGTGGGTGATTCGGCAGAGCTTTGTACTTCATGAGATTGAAGCTGGTGTCGGGAATGGGCACCAGGGGAGCAGGGAACAGTTGAAGCCCAGTGCTCTGACTTGGGGTCTTTGCAGGAGCAGTTGCATATTTGCATGTTTACACATTTGTGCAAAGACACATGACTCAGTACCAGTTTAGGGACCCACCACCTGAAATCCATCCAGGGACCTGAGACGGTCAGCCAGCTGTCAATGAGGAAGACTGTGGGAGTGGGTTTTGGTCTCTGACATTTAGACAGAGGCTCTGCCATGATTTTGGGGCGTGTTTGTCTCTGGCTCTATGGGTTCCAGCCACCACTAGGTGGCACTACCCCCTTGGTGATCTGACTTTCCTCTCCGAGCCTTGTGGGCACCCTTTGCAGCCTGTCCTTGGGCCATTTGCCCTCCCATACAGACTTTTTCATTAACACCAGGGGTCTGACTGACCCGGGTGCAAGGGTTCTTTGGTCCTAGTTTCTGTCTTTTCTGGGGTGGGTGGCGGGGGCAGGCAGCAGCTCTCGCCTGTCAAGTGCCTGCCATGTCCTTGATGAGTCTCTCTAGGGGTCTTGAGCCCTCTGGGGTCTGTGTGCTTCTGGTGCTGAAAGCAGGTACTATCAGTGTGGGTGCTCTTCTGAGAACTGAGGTCTGGCTTTCCTGAGATTGTCAGGGAATGTGTGGCTTTAGACTCTGGCTTAACATCAAGTTCTCTATAATGTGACAGTGATCACCTTCCCAGTTTGGGATTTTTTATGTCTGAGAAGGTCAKGGCTGGGACTGGGGCTGTAGCTCAGTGACAGAGCGCTTGCCTTGCATGTGTGAGGCACTGGGGTTGTCAATCCTTAGCACCACATAAAAATAATTAAAGGCATGCTATCTATCTACAACTACAAAAATATAATAAAATGAAATAAAGTAAGATAAATAAAGCCCAGAGATATTAGGAGAGATGGTTGRGTGAGTTGGATGAGTTGGCTGGGGTGGGTCTTTTGGCACAAACCATGAGGAAGACACTTTGGGCTGAGGTACTGTGTCTGTCATATGATGATGTATCCAGTGCACAGGATCACATGGGCTAGGTGCAGATTAGACTTCCTGAGAGTCCCAGGGAGGGAGGAAATGGCAGTGTGTGTGTGATGCTGTGGCATGGGGTGACAGGGACCTGTGGCCCAGCGGGGATGGAGAGCATTGGTGCTAGGAAGCATGTAAGCATGGTATCCTCATCCTGAGGGGCTTTGAGAGTTTACTGAAGGATTCAGCACAGTGTGGGGTGGCGACATGATGAGCTTGGTCTTTCAAGAGCTCTGTCTGTCTAGGGAATGAGTTGAAGTACGGAAAGTGCACAGTTGGAGGCGGTGGCCAGGAAGGACTGCCTGGGGTCCTGATGGAATCGTAGAGACGGGCTGGTAGGAAAGATAGAGTGGAGTCCATCCCAGGAACGCAAGGGTGCTACTTTTTAGAAAATGATTTGAATAGGATTAATTAATAAATTATTTTAATAGAATAATCCTATTGACACATTTCAAGATGAACAGAAGTATTTGTGAAAATTTAACAATTATGATTGAAACTCTCAGCCAGCTAGGAAAAGAGGGGAAATTCCATAAGCAGATAAAAGCCATTCGTGAAAAACAACAATGAATATAATATTGATAGACTGACCACTGCCCTGACATGGGGACGAGGCAGAGCTGTCATTGTACTGAATGTCCTCGCTGTGCAATCAGGTAAGAGAAAGAAAAGGTTAGACAAGCTGGATAGAACAAATGAAACTGTCTCCATTGGGAGACAACATAATTATTTATGTCAGAAGTCTTGAGGAGTGAATAAAAAAGTATCTAGGGCCAGGCAGAGGGAGGCTGAGGCAGGAGGGTTGCAAGTTCAAGGCCATTCTCAGCAATTTAGTGAGACCCTTTCTCAAACAAACAAACAAACAAACAAACAAAAACTCTGGAGGTTCAGCTCAGAGGTAAAAGCACCCCTGGGTTCAATCTCCTGTATTACTCCTGCCCCTCAAAGTACCTGGACCAATTAGAGAGGTTAAGAGGGTCATAGAATGCAGAAACAATATACAAAAATAGATTATATTTCTGTGTACTAGCAGCAAACCATTGGAAATACTGTTTGTGTTGTACTGTTTACAATAACATCAGAACCCAGTGGTGCATGCCTATAATCTCAGCTACTCCAGAGGCTGAGGCAAGAGGATCACAGGTTTGAGGCCAGCCTAGGCAATGTAGCMAGACCCTGTATTTAAAAAAAAGAGTGAGGGGTAGAGGGGGSCACTGCAGTTGTAGCTCAGTGGTAGAGCACTTGCCTAGCATGTAGAAGGCCCAGGGTTCCATCCTCAGCACTGCAAAACAAACAATCTACATGTAAAATACTTAGGGATAAATTTAACAAAATGTTTAAGATCTGCACTCTGGAACCCATAAGATGCAGCTGACAGTAATTAAAGATGACCTAATAATACAGGGAAATTGAGAGAAACCATAAGAGGAAAAAATAAACT